AATGCACAGAATTCCCTCGAGAAATGCTTTTGCATTAACTTTTTGAAATAGGATACCAAGAAAGAATATCATACCTTTATAGATATATACTTTCGAAACAAACTTCTCAGCAGGTATATACTCGTATAATAATAGAGACCCTATATTTCACATCTTTTATTTATGCACCTAATTTTTGTAGTTTATTTATTGCATATTTTATATACATATATTGAATGCATATGCGTATCATCGTTTTAATTTTTATTACCTACTATTAGCAAAAACTAAATTTTTTTACATTGCAAAACTCCGATGAAATCGCCACTTGATTGCTATGTGTATCAAATTCCGATGAAATGCAATCGAGATGGATTTATAGGAAGGACCGCGGAATTTCAAGTAAATCATTCACGAAAATATAATTCGACGAGTTATATCCCGAAAACGCGTGAACGAGTGGTACCCGATGCAACGAGCCGAATACTTAAGTGTTATAGCATCCACAAATTAATGGTTTATGAATTAATAGTTTGTAAGTGCAAACGCGCGTAATGAAAACCAATGGCACGTGCCAGGCGCGATACAATTCTGTTATTGTAATCCCGTGACTCGCACCACCGTTCTAGAAAGCTGCCAGGCGGCTTGAATAGGAAACACTTGTCGTGGCTTTTATTTTTCATGGTAATAGGATATCCTATTTTTCGTTATAGAATTTTTTTTTTTCCAAAAATATTGGCTAACGACGTAACAGCGTGTTTCTACGCCATACAGTTTTCCAGACAATGTTGTTGATATACAGATCGCAACTTCTCTCTGAAAATTTCAGCCATGCTTTCGTCTGTAACAAAAACGTGGTAAACTTCGACCATCCTGGAACCGTCACGTGACTTTAACGATATTTTATACACGGAATTGTGTGTAACTCTTTACGTTTTCTTTTTTTTTTTCTTTTTAATTCAATCAGACATTTGGAAACTGTAACGCGCATTTATACGAGGAAAAGAGAGAAAGTTATTCACGAAGTTTGTTCTGCTCTTGAATTCGCACATGTAACGTATCGTTTCGATTATTCGAAACGCGCGCGTGTCCGATGAATCGATCCGATCTCGAGTTGTGTCGAAGGGTTGTCGTTGTTGTCGCGCTTTTGAGGCGCCAGGAAGTATGCTCGAGCATTAATCCGATAATGATGTAATTAGTTCCGAGATAGTCGGCATCAGTCGTCGATAATAGTGTCATTCGTTCAATACATTGACATATATTTACTATTTTATTTCTTTCTTTACTGTTTTCCTTTTCTTCCCGGACGCTACATTTTAAAGAGAGAATATGAATTTATCGAGGAATTTATATATAGCTCCATGTATAAAACATTAAAGTTGACGTAATTCGAAAACGATCGACATTTATTCATATTTTATTTATAAGACGCACGAAGGGAAATACACTTTTTTATAGATATTAATATAATATTAACAATTTTTTAATTTTGCGTTAAAGGAATTTTTTAAATAAATGATTTAGATTTTTACTGCACGATAATTTTTGGTAAAATATGATATTTCCCTTCTCTGATTTTTTCCTACAATATTTCTTTTCGATATAAGTTGTACCGCTACTAAATCTAAAATATAAAAATACTTATTTGCATAATACATTATCAATTTACGTAAGCACATTAATTATGCTGTTTTAATCAGAAAGAAGAAGAAACTGATATATGATTCTTTTTACAAAAATTTCTTATCTTACTAAATATTTAAGTACGTATCATGATTAAAAACTTTCGAAAATGTTAACATTTTATTTTGACAAGAAGTAGCAATAATTATTTTATCCATGAAATCTACCATCGATTTATAAAAGAAAGAAAGAATTGATTGATGCTGTTTCTCTTTGTGTCGAGTGTAGAATCGAACAAATTCTTTACGAGTTTATCGATTACAGAAAAGAATGGATCCTCATAACGCAAGAATGCACCTGATTCCGCTGCCTCAGCATTAAGGCCAAATGGCACTATATCCTGCGCTTTGTTGAGTACATACTTCTGAGTGTACGCGTTTGAAAAATCGCAATAGGGATGCAACAGATAAATGGAAATCCGCGTTTGCCTCTCGCGGTGCGAATCCGAAACTTAAATAAGAAACGCGATCGATGTTACGGTCCATCGTAGCTGCATAAATATTCCGGGAATCACGCGAGAGATCGACTTCGGGATATTACCCGTCAGATTCATCCGAATCCGCCGTAAAATTCGAGCGACCAACCGCAAATTTTGCAATCGTTGCAACGCGCAATCTGCAGACGCGACAATAAAATAATACACCGTGAATGTTCGAGCGTATTTAACGTAGCGTGCATTGTTGTGCAAAGATAATTTTTTTAATTTTGACTTAAAATTCAAGATTTTTAAGATGTAAATTAAACTTTCGAAACTGAGATGCACATGTATTAAGATTTTATTTCACGTATCGGTCTTACCTAGAATTTTACCTTCGTATATGACAAAATATTAATATTTTACGTTAACAAAAAATCTTCAAGTAATAATAATTATTTAATTTGAACAGAATTTGGAATTTTCTAAAATTGAACTTTTCAAATTAAAATGCACATATTAATTAAACTTTATACCTCTTTATTTAACATATTGGATCTTTGTCAAGTGGAATTATAAAAGTACTTATTGTTAGTAATTTTACTTAGAATTATAAAATACTAAATATTTATTAAAAAAAATAGTTCAAATTTAACCAAGATATCTACATGGGATATGCGCGTGGATTTATAGCTAGTCGTGAAAATCTAAGCGGAGCTTCCTAGAGTAAAAATTCCCGAATGCGCGTCCAAATCCAAGTAGAAAAATCCGAAGCACAAAAAAATTCACAACGAATATTGCACCGGAGTCAAATCCGTCAGCGGATTGTGCACGCGGGGGCGAAGACGTGCTCGGCGTCTCACGTCGAGGACGAGACGACGTATATCCGGAGCGCACGCCTGTGTGTTGGAAAACGCCGCAATGGCGTCAAGTTGTTGCGAACGAAATAAACGCGCACAGAGTTTATTCGTAAACATACAATGCAGAGAGATGTACTCACCGTGCCCGAGACGCCACCAGCATCGTTACTCCTCTCGTCCTGCCGCTCCGTTCTGCACCGTCGCTTTATGTTACATACATACAGTTGTCCCACGAGGAGGCTATACCCGCCCCGCCGACCGTTTAGAATCGTCACTAAAAGCACGACACAACAAGATGAATACGAGACGATCGCTTATCACTTCGCGCGGGCATTCCTAAAACACGCGAGACGTGCCGATCGCGCGCCCGCCATGTTTGGAATGCTTGGATGCGCGCCGCTTGAATCGAACTCGCGGCAACTTCAAGGGGCTATAACACCGCGACATTTTCCCGCGCAACGATCGACGCGAGATTCTTAGCCGCGCGACATGCCGAGACTGCCAGAGCATCGTGAAGTGCGAGAAGCAGGTAATTGTTTATCGGATTCCTCAATTATTAATAGGAGAGCTCGCCTCGATGTTCAATAAGTCTCTCTGTGGCGCGCCGGATTCTAATTTCCATCGTAAATGTACCGAAAGGACACACGGCAGACGTGGCGCCGCGCGTCACTCGACTTCCGAAATGTAATAAGTATGCCGTGTGCGTTGCTGAGAATACCGAGCGACCGCGCTAGTCAAAACAAATTCGCGTATGTCCTCACGGTAATAATAACAACCGTTGCCGGCGTGTCGCAGTTCAGTCTCCGAAAAACAAACAGTCTTTCCAACGCAACGTCGCGAATTGGCTGCGTTTAGTAGAAAAGCAGGTTTGCAACTGTTGTCAGAATTTTTAATATGATTGGTTCTTGCCGTTATACAGTTCCTTTTACTAGATTTAAATGTGTTCAAATCAATCATAGTAAAGAATATCTTACACAATTGCAAATTTTGCACTTTTTTGTTAAACGCAAACCTTTGATTCAATAACAAAATACTCTAACATCTTATCAATAATTAATCGCTATTGTTAACTAACTACTACCAATGAAAGCCGCGCATTTTCCAGGATCGTTCTTGTCATTGGCTGTCGCTAGTTAAGCGATAATTGTCGATAAGATGTTATAGAATCTCGTTACTGAAACACAATAGTAAAGGTAATAAGAAATCATATTGGATTATTCTTTTCACGTTCAATTGTGATTGACCCAACATCTTATCATTAGCTTGAGACTTATTACATCCATTATGTTTAGGAACTTATTTTACGTGAAAGGGACGATTTTACTGAAGCATCTAAAAATTTAGTTAGATATATAAATCTGAAAATAATTTTCTATTTTGTGTTAAACCATTATTAAAATATTAGGTTGATCGCTAGAATCAAAACTTTTTACAGCATTTTTCATCACATTTGATTGTGACATATATTAATTTTGATAATCCAAGAAAATTTTCAGATCTGTATTCTAAATTTTTATTTTAGCAAAACCGTTCTTTCTGTGTAATTCAGTACCATTCCAGGTTTGTAATTCTTGAATTGACTTGACGTGCGCAGCTTCACGCCTATTGCTTTCCCGGTAGAAACAACTTATAGCAAACACCAACTAACTATAACATAACTCTTACAATTGTTATAAATTTCCGCTTAACAATATAACTGTAATATAACATGTAACAGTTATATAATACGTAAAGTTATATTGTTCAGTGGGAAATTATAACTAACAATTATGTTACTGTTAGTTGTGTTTGCTGAGTTCTTTCTATCTTCATTAATAAGAAGGAGAAAAAAAAACAAACGTAAATATTGATACATCAGTCATTGTCTAAAATTACAAATCTTGAACAATCTTGATTAATTTCTTTTTAAAACTTAAAGCTTAGGTAATAAGTTATTATAAAAAGTCTATTACAGTATATATATCTTATACAGTTAGAGGCGGTTTATTGCAAATACTTTGTTGTCAGTCACGACAACTAATTAGAAACATCACTATTGACGCTTTTGATTGGCTGTTGCGAAGCATCGCGACTAGTAACGGTGTATTTGCAACTTATTGCAAATCACGCTTTATTGTTACAGTAAATGTGTACGGCAACCCTAAATACTCGAATATCGATAGGCGCGTTCGAAGGGGAATGAAGTAGTCAACTTGACGCGCCGCGTGTCGACGCGTGACATGGCGCTGACTTCTCGACGTAGTTGAAACAGCGGTGCGACGCGGCGCGGGCGTGAATAGTCGGATTCGCAACCGCGCGGCTCTCGTGAATATTTCCGTTCGTGAAATACACCGTTCCCGCGTCTCTATGGACCAACTCGTAGAACCATCGTCTGCGTTGAACGTGTCGTTTTTCCGCCTACTCTTCAATATGTCTCAGGTATTTGAAAACATATCTATTGATATTGCGAATTCCTTCGCTTTTTCGACCATTTTCCCTTCGATACGCTTACCCGTATATCGTGCCCCGCGCCTGGAGCTTGCCCCGAGACCGGAATTTAATCTCGTAAAAAGGGAGCTCGTGAGAGATAGAGAGACGACACGGGACGAGCTATGAAATCTGCGCGACGTGACGTTGATTATTTCTGCGAATTGGACGCGCGCGTCGAAAGCGTCTCCGCCAACGGTCAATACGTTCAATCCGCCGTCGTTTATGACGCGTATTTAATTAGCAAATTTTAATAGGGAAGAGAAAAAAAAGAAGAATACCGTGGTACCGCCTGTTATCGATCGCGTTTTTATTTTCGCGAATTAAACGAGAGGGCACGACAACGCGCGCGATTGATGAGAACAAAGTGCCGTCATAAAAGTTTTCTCAAATCTCCTCTCAACGAGCGCAAGATATATTGTATGTTTGTACTTTCCGCTCTATTTGCGATTAATTTACATTATTAATCTGCGTTATTAATTCATATTAATTCAGCTCACGCATGACCAAATTTTAAGCGGAATGCTTCCCCTTCTTGCTCTCCCCCTTGCCGGTTGAGAGACGGGGATATGAAGTGTTCTAGTTTAGTAAAATTATTAACTTAATAATCGTGTACGGAAATACGAAGGTAGGTATTTATGATAAATAGCAATACATTCGCCGCGGATGAAAGTATTTTGCGCGCGGCAGCGGCATTAATTCAATTTCATCGGGACAGCAAATTCCATTATGAAAATGTTTCACATTCTGGCTAGAGTAAATACAGGCACGGAACTATGAATTAACCGGATAACGAAATATAATGTACTATTATTTATACACATTTGAGGTCGCGTATCCGCTCGTCCGCGAATTATCGGTAAAAGATGGAAAATCGCCAAATTATTCGGCGGTATCCCTATTCGGAATATCGACAATTAATTGTACATACAGCAGATATATATGTATGTACATATATTATTTCATCCAATTGACAATCCGCTCATGCTATTTCCCATCAATTTAGCTGGCCGTAATTTTGAAGTCTCGCGTTCAGATAATTTTTATTAAAAACGTTATAGATGCGCGCGTATCCTGTCTCGCACGTTCGTCGAGGTTTGCGTCGGAATTTTATAGTACGAAATTTGGCGAGATTGCGCGGACGAGTCCGGTCAATGTGGGAAAATCTAAAACTTGGGACACAAGCACGTCCAACGTGAAAATAGATGTGTCAAGTGCGACATAAATACCTTCACCGCGCGCGAACGGCCAGCCGATAACCGCCTATTTTTAGCACTTATTTGCAGGCGTCCCGCGTATAATATCGATATTGCAATTTCTGCCGGCACAAGATACTAATAGCTGTTTTTCTGCGCATCTACATATCGATTCACAGACACATGCACGATGCTGCGGAACGTAGTAAAGTGTGTAGATGAAAGTACGAGAAAATTTGTGTTTGCTAATCACATAGAGTTCGAAGAGAGAGAGAGAGAGAGAGAGAGAGAGAGAGAGAGAGAGAGAGAGTGTGAGAGGGAGAAGGAGAGAGATCTTTTTGCATTTTCCCAGAATTGCGAGGAAAGATAATTGAACTAAAAACGATGCGACGCGTCCTGCAACTGTTCTATCTAAATGCTAAAACAAGTCACTGCGACTACTGCACTCGGTGCAGTTCAATTATGAACAATTACGCCAAAATTGCATTCAGTAATTACATGTGTAATATGCGAATAACTTGTGTCTTTCCGATTGACCTGAGTGCAACTTCGTTTGCACAGCTGTCTCATTTGAATTTCTAATGTAGAGGAAAAGAAATACAAATATCCTAAAAATAGAGCATTTTTACTTATTCGAGCAGCAATTTTCATAAATTGTCACGATTGTAGAAAGTCTGCATATTAACTAACTAAAGAGCAAACGGACTTTCACGTAATTCGAGTTCGGGTACTTTCAAATTTTCGCAAGAAAATTCGGTATCTGATTATAGTAAACTTAAACAACAAGGTACGGAATTATCATGTCCAAATTAAGAGATGGCTATCGAAAACTTTTAAAATACACTCCATAAGTATTTAAAAATCTTTACAACTTTCAAATTTTTATGAATTTAAACATCAAAATATCATCTCTATTTGTATTTTCTGCGCTTTCGTATCTCCCAAATTCCACGTAAAACTTCGAAATATTATTTCTTTTATTAGAGAAAATATGGAAGACGTTTTAATTAGTTTGTTGAAAAAAAAAAAAGAATATCGTCGCATCCGGTGAAAGCATCCCATTTTCAGCAACGTAAAGTGCTTTCGGCTTTGATTTCATTTTACAATCTTTATATAACGTGGAATTTTGCTGGGCAGGACGGTTTTCTAGAAAAAGATTTACTACTTTCTTTAAGTACACTAATTGCATTTTAACGCAGCTCGACTTTGTCCAATATTATTTTATACTTTCTCGCGACGTTTTTGTATTGCGCCTCGTCATCTGCATACATTTTCATTATATTGCAACTACGAATCCCCGTGTTATTTTCTTGTAAAAGATGTTTCCGTTTAATATCTTTAAAATGAAGTTAATGCAGTATGCTAGCTAAATTATATCGCTATGTGGTTGGGAATTTCGTCTCTCTCTCTCTCTCTCTCTCTCTGATTAATTTCATTGAAAATTTGATGTAGCAACTTTGACAAAAAAAATTTTGCATCCAGATAGCCTTGTTGCAACGCGTTGCTTTTAGTCCAATTATCTTTCCATTGTAAAACTTTTGTATACGTTACGCTGTGTCCAAGTATATTGATGCCATGCATATCACTGAAATTTTGCGGCAGACCTACCGTTTGTTTTACTACTTCACTCTGGTCTCGTTTACGGCGTCTACTACTATTTCAGTTTGCGATCTCTGTTAAAAACAATTAGCGTAACTCTTCTGTAATGCGAACTATTATATCAATTAAACATGTATTGATTCTATTGCTATATTGACTCCATTGAGTTTATATAATATTTCAAGTTATATTAAGCATTATATTAACAATGGCGAGAATAACTATAATGTATAATCTTTTGTCGGAACTGTTTGTCGGAAATTGCAGCATTAGTCCAAACTAACTTCGACGTAAATTTTAATAGGTCTTTCCAATCATATTCAGCTTACAGTTATATGTTTAATAACGATGTTAGAGAGAAGTACAGCGAACCTCAAAGCAGTAATATATATATATGTGTGTGTGTATATATTTACACTGCATAGATGATATATGAAACGTATATTATAATTTATCTACCAATATTAAATTTTAATATTAGTTGAATTTTAACGAATGGGAAACTATTAGAATTAACAATTATAATATATTAACATTAAAGTAAACGTTCCAGAGACCGGACGTGTATTTATATGTATATGTCCGACATTTACATAAAACTTTATTTGTTTATATAATATTATTAATAATAATATATCTTTCTCTCTTTCTGAAATCCTATTTAAAATATGTATAATAATGTTAATTGTAATATATTAATATTATATATATAAATATAATTGTAATTCTTTATATACAATTAAATTATAATATTGTAATAAAAAAGCATTTGGAATTAATAATAATAAATTTTGTGTAAAAGTGTTCGCCACAAAAATTAGAGTAATTATTTTTTTTTATTAAAAGAGGCAATTCTTGTACAATCTAATACGTCATGAATTTATCTAGTAGATTTATCTGTAGCTTATTCATTCAGAAGTGATCCGCTATTTTGTTCATTTTTTTCACTCGCGTATTCATTTACTCCACGTTTTACACGCTCGATAACGCATAAAACTGATGCGCTCTATTCTCGTTGGCGCAGTTTACGCGGTCCGATTTTACGAATATCCACGAATATCGGTGACGGTACTTTAAAAACAAGAATGATCTGCGCGTAGCCAAATGCAACGTACCGCTTGATTCATTCGTCAATTGACTTGTGAATCCATCGTTGCACACCCACATACCGAAATACGCGCGGCTTTCTTTTCCGAATGAATATTTCTGTATGCCAAAGCACAATAGTCCCTCGCAATAGCCGGCATTTTTCGTAGTAACTCTGAAAGCTTATCCGATTCTGTTTCGGCAATCTGAACACCCATTGCCTACCTTCAATATTGTTGTTGTTCCACCCGTCGCGCTCTTTTTTTCGAGTTCCATTTGTGCTTGTCACGCACTGTCAAAAACACGCCCGAAATGAAATTTCTATCACGTTCTTTATTCCATCGAGAACATACATCCATTTTAATTTTACCTTCGGCCATTGATTCTTTCCCTTTTTTCCTTTTATCTTATTTCACATTTACTTGTTCAGAGTTTTGATAGTTGAAACAAGCATAAGAATAGACAGACGTTATTTGATGTCGACGTCGCGCGTGATTTTTAGATGATTTTTAGAAGAGATGGCGCCAAAATTGTACAGTATACTGCATTTATAATCTGTTTTAAGTTCATGAATACGGTGATATTTTTTTTTTAAATCGTGACATTTATTAATATTTATAATTTCCGCAAATAATGAAACTGTCGACTTATCTAACATCTGTCTAACAGAAATAGTAACGACGACCATGTGCATTATTTGAAAATGAATACATACTGCCTGCCTAGAATTTATGGCACGTATTCTGCGTGTCATCATATGTAATCTCGTGACAATTTCTCGTTTTCCTCTAGAATGAGCATCACGATCGATACAACCTCTGCGATAATACGCCCCAATGGTCGCACAGTATACGAAATCGTTTCGACGACAATATAGAACATTAAACCTTATCCGCTTCACATTTCATTTCGGGTCAACGATTTGATCTGTGCTTAATGATAACATTTTTGAAAAGATATCTTTGGGAAGCGCGGTTTATAGCATTAATTTCTTTCCAAAAGAGCTCAAATGATTTATTTGTATTTTCGAATACTTTGTATTTGAACAATATATCGCTGTAACTTTGCGAAATATGAAATTAAAAAAAAAAGGGAAACAATTCAAGTGCAATTTCTGTCATGATAAACATATAAAAGTGTTGTGTCTCGGTCTCATACTCGTTCAATTTTGCTGGCCTTGCCAAGCTGTCTCAATAAAAGGCAATTAACTTTGTTACTTCGCTCCTCGTCGAAAGCTGCGCTTTCTCAATTTTCCCCTCACGGAGATTTCCGTTTAGCCGTTTGGGATGGCGTCACTATTAAACTTACTTTTCTTCTACGCGAGAGCTGACTAGAATCCGTCGGTGAGAGGCGGATATTGGAATCGCGATATTTTCATTCGTAAAAGTTTGAAAGCGAACATATACATATATACCTTCACATAGAGAAAAGTCGTTCGTCCATGAGGCGGCGTGTTCTGAAAATGACGTGACGTAGAAAACAAACTTCGCATTTTCGGTTTAGCAAGATCGTTGCGGCTAATATTCCATAAAACTTCGCATGCATTCGCGAACAGAATTCATTCTCTGTAGTTGAAACTTATACAGATGTACGTGGACATCGCGATGTGTGACGAGGCTTTATACGCACTGGAGTTGTTATCAGTCGTGCCCATCTCGTTTTTTTTTACGCGAGACACAAATGGTTAGCAACACACGCAGTCATAAAACATTTTTAGTGCGCCAATGAAAATCTGTATTCGAAATAAAAAATTTTCGCGTTGTTCAGCATCACAATAATATTTCGATTTCGCAATAAATCACGATTTAGCGCAACTTCTTTTTGCCTTTCGATTCTTTTTTTCTTTTTCCCAGAAAGTACCACAGCCACGAAATTGCCAAGAGATCTATAAAAGATTTCTTGTTTCGAAAAAATCAGGAAAAAGGGCTGAGAGAGCGCTCTTGTAGGAATGGCACATAACGGCCATAAATTGCGGTTTATGAGTCTTCGACGTTTCTCTTTTGTTTCTGATTAACATTTTAAAATGCGCAACGGGCGCATCGTCACACAAATTGCCATCAGATAGGATGAACCGGGAAGTCCGCCAAGCAGGCCAGGTCAATAAAGTTCGGTATAAAGAACGCGCATTTCTGGGCCACGTAAATTCGGTTTGGAGAGTCGTGGTGCACTCATTGCTGACATGATTGTATCGCGACGCATGTCGTACGTACGTATGTTGTGTGTACGTTTACCCGAACACAATATTTGCGTTCTGTCGGTCTTTGAGAGAGCAGTACAATGGTCCTCATCCAAAGCATCGACCGCATGACGTCGTGCCAGCAACGCGAATAAACCCCGCTCGCGACGCGGCTTCCAGAATTAATTCGTCTCTTGCCATAATGACTGTCGAGCGTGTTGCGCATTATTCATCAGAACCTCCGACTCGATCTAAAATTATTTTAGCCCGCTTACTCGGAGTAAGGCAAGCTCCGTTTTGAAAAGATTAGAACTTTTTCAGACTCTCCCTCCTTCTCTCTTTCTCTCGTGTACAGATTAAAATTTCTTGATAGACTTGTTAATCGATTGTATCGTTATTAAAAACTTTTGATAACAATTTAAAATTGAGATTACTTTATGAAGTTGTAATCGATATTCTGTTTGTAATAATAATAAAAAGGATCAATAAATAATGCAATTTTTCAATTTTTTGTACTACGTGTCTTTAGCCTAAGTGCTTAAATTTATCTTAGTTCTTCTCCTTACTTCAAAACTTATCCTATTAATCCTCTTGAGAGCCAGAAAGCAATTACTTTTATACTCACTATGTACTTTCTCTCGGACGTGAGATCTTAACAAGGTACTTTCAGCTTTAATTGAAATCATTTGCTAGTTATGTTTATATTCATTTATTCTTTGTGTTGACAAAATATTCTTTTTATTATACATTCAAAACAACGTAATAAAAGAAATTAATTGCATTTTCAACGTCTTGTCGTAGCTTAAAAGTTCGATCGAATAAGAGTAAATTAATTAGCTGCGGAATTTATTTATTAATTAGTCTATAGTTATAAATTAATTAACCGAGTTAAACAGTTGTTTTTTTCCGACACTTGAAAACTGTAAAAGGGGTATTACTCTCTTTGATACAGCATTATTGAACATAAATTCACAAGCTCGTTTGACGTCAGCGTATTCGACAAAATTCCTTACTACTTGTTTTGCGTAGTGTCATTTTACATCGCATTAACGGGAAAATAACAGAGGAGGGTAATGAAGAGAACGCCGGCGCAGATTTTCTTGCGATCGTTTTTCTCCACCGCCTTAATGGAGGACGCCGGGCGCGCGAGCACGAGATTATTTGCGAAACAGCTCCAGAGAGTAGGAATCTCGTTATGACGTTTCTCGAGTAACACTTCGTTACTTTTGTACAGTGGGTCTCGGTCACGTATTTTCATTCGTCTTTTATTTAATTATTCTCGCCTCCCCCTCTTGCTCTGTTTTTCTCTCGTCGAGTGTTTATAAGCCGAACAATTTGCAAAGCCATCACTTGAAACCAGGTGTATATAAAAATAAAATGTTTTAAATGTCCCGTTGATTGGTGGAATTAATTTCTTCGTGCTCAACTTCGTACGAAAATACAATATGATACAGTATTGATTTTCCTTTTTTTTCTGTTTTTCTATAACTGTAAATACCATACAAGAATTGTCGGAATATTATAAGAGAACTTTTACCCGATCAGGAACAAATCGCAGCGTTTTACGCAGGGAGAAAATTATCTGACAGTGCACAATAACTTCTTCCGCCAAGATTTATTCCCTGTTAAACGGATTCACAGGACGACAGGAGCGAAACGCGAGCTTTCTCCGCACGGATTTTGTGCCCTTATCGTGTCACGCCTCGTTACTATCTAGCAAAAGTGGATGAGCCGTAATCTCGTGCTGCAAGAAAACGGGGCTTGTGCCGTTCCGTTACAGTCTCTTTGACGTTGCAGGTGTCATCGCGAACGAAGATAATACTGGTGTATGTTCCACCTCTGCGGAAACTTGCTTATTTCTCCTCGCATTTCCAATGAGATTCGCATTGCTTGGCCTTGAATTCACGTGCCGAGACGGCATTATTTCTGACGTAAATTTGGATTATCCATTTAATAAGGAATATTTGACAGAGAATTTCAAGACAATAAACAGGAGATTATACGTTACGAATTTTTAAATCGGACATTTTAATCGCTTTTACGCGAAAGCTCCTTTACGAATCTTAATGAAATCTTATTATACAATATCGTTACTGGAATTGAATTTATATAATTATTTATTATATTTATTTTATTACAATTGATTATAATTTTATTATTATATTGTATTTATTATTATATTTTATCAAAAAATTTGTAATAAGTAAGTTTCTAAGAAGGATCCTTTTATTTCTTACATTCTCACTTCAGTCATTCTTTGTTATTCTTATGTCGTGCTTTATTTTATTACATAGCAAGTTCTTGACTTATGAGAATAATGAACTATCCGATTGTATAGAACCCTTCTCACATTATCCTTCATTATTATATTGTAAGTTCACGGATAATACCGACACACAGGTTCATTACGACATTTTTCTAAACAAAAATATCGCTTTACTGTAAATCCTTAACATTTGTACTGGAACAACGCTCTTCTTTTTCTCTCTATATATTTTTTCTCTGTACATATTAATTTTATTATATCTTGTTAAAAAATAAGAAAGCATAAAATTATACTACAAAGCAAAAGCAGAAATATACGCGCGTCTATCATTATTTCACGAAAATAATATTTCTAAAAGAATGCAAATTAAAGAAATAAAAGGATTAAAGGAATAACAATAAAAAAAGAGACTGAGGGATCATTAAGAATTTATATCATATGATATAAATACATCATATGATATAGATTATATAATAAAGGTTACTATTTATTTTAATGACATTGAATCCGGTTTCCAAATTGTTCCAACACATTACATGTAAAGTACTCTGAAATTTTTCTGCAACTTTAACTGTAAATTCCTCACAATTATGATATAATGGAGCAATTGGGAAATCGGATTTAAATATTTAGCATTTAAAAATAATGAGAAATAATTTATCTTGTGTTTGAAAACAATTTTTTGACCCGTATGAAGCTGGCCCCCCAATATTTAAAAATCGATTTTTTTTCTTCATGCATTCGTTTGCTCATCGTTTGCTCACGAATGCTCAGTTGGAATTTTCGTTTGCTCACCCTTTAATTCAAAAGATTTATGAGCAAACGCGAATGCAAAAAAAAATTATTTTTTAATTCGATACCAAAACTTAATTTTCTTGTATCTTTTGAACTAAGGGTGAGCAAACGAAAATTCCAACTGAGCATTCGTGAGCAAACGAATGCACGAAGAAAAAAATCGATTTTTTAATATTGGAGGGCCAGCTTCACACGGATAATTTTTTATCGAATAATGAAATCAATAAATAATACATGTCTTTATATTATAAGTTTTGAAGGCTTATAGAAAAGATTCGTTTAATTGGTCGGAGTTATCGCAAATGTTCACGAAAAGAGAAAATATTTCAAAATGTTAGATAGAGTCCTAAAATTATAGCAAAGAGCCTCGTAGATTGAATTAAAAAGGAGTCGTTTACAACTACCACCGTTTGATGTTGCAGGCGGGGTGAGGCATCGTCTGAGCGGTGGTTCCGCGTCTGCTCTGAGCTACGGGGGCGAGAAGTATGGCAGAAGCGGAAGGTCCGGCGACGGTAGAACCGGCGGCGGTAGGGAAAAAGAGGATGACACCAAGAGTGCAGAGAATATATCCAGGGGGGTTTTACCCTCGAGGCAGAGCCTCTTGGACCTCGTCAGCGGTAAATTCATGGGCCGACACACACCCACTCACCACTACTACTATCAGCAGCAACAGCAGGTTGGTTACCGCTCGCGATCGTGCGATAAAATATTCGTTTCATAGCCACACTCGTCGAGGAAACTCCCGAGCAGGACATTTTGCGAGTGAACTCGCCGACATTGAGCACTTTGATAGTCGTCAAATATTTCCTTGAATCTGGTTTTGAGTGGGTTTTCTATTAGAAAGAAAAAAAAAGTTAGAATCGTAAGGTAAATATAGAAAAGGTAAATTTTCCTCATTTGTAGAATCTTTTTCTTAAAGACTTTTAACAAGTCTTGTAAAGTTATTAAAATGTAATTTAATTTCTCTAACAAATAAATTTTATATATGCTCGCAATACAAATATATTACGTTATTTCGTGGAAAAAAGAAATTCCTTGAAAATAATAATTGTGGATAAATTTACATTGTTGTGTACTCGATATTGTGAAAGAAATAACAAAAATTAGAATTGATAAAAGACGGTGAAAAAGTAGGAAAATAGAGGAAAAGTTTCTCTAGCAGCTAAGCTTTAATCAGCTAAATGTGTGTTTCACTAAGAATTTATAAAAACAAAATAACTGGTATTATATTTATTTTTGTAAAAAGTATTATGTGTGTGTGCATACATCTCTGAGTTTACCGCGACAAGCGAGCTTAATATTAAACTATTCGACGCGCGAAAAAAAATTTTTTTCAACAATCCCGTAAGTTGATAACAACGTTCGCAACATCCGGCGAGAACGTTCATTTCATTATGCGCTACAACTGCATACGAGCCATACCTTCATGGTTCGAACATTGCACGAATAAACCAATGTGGAAAATACGAGGATCTCCGAGAGATGAAAAATAACCAGAACGGTTATATCGCGCAGTTAACAATTAAGCAAAATACGATGAGTATATTTAAACAGCAGAATATTATGGATCGTGGTCGCATGAGAAATGTCGAATTTTAGTAAAATTAATTTAAGAAAAATTAATTATATTGATGACTAATTTTTCCCAATGAATAAAAGAGACTGGTTATTTGTGACATTTCGTATATTTTTCACGTATATTTGTACTGCTCATTTATAAATGTGGCATTTATAAATATTGAATATGCATTTATATCGTACATTTGTGCAAACCTCTGTAATCATTGCATTTTTGTATGTAAAATAATGTAAAGTACGCGGAAAGAACGATTTTGCTGTACTGGAAAATTATACTAAATTTTAATAAATTATTTGTTTTGAATTGTATCAACTAAATATTTACTAAATACATACTATACAGATATATTTATTTGGTCGTTAAACTAATAGTTTGATTTAACAATTATTTTTTATTGGATAAATATTTATTCAATGAAAAATAATTGTTGAAAAATAATTATTTTGAAATTTGTATTTAGCTAAAATTTTAGGCCGATATTTATAGACGATTCTTATTTAAGTCTGTTTTGAGTACAGCATTAAGATATTACGAATTGATCAGAGAATTGTATTAGCATCTTTACTTAAGACGGTCTGAAATAAGAAGAGACTACGGATGGTATTTATAGTTAGACATCATATTTAGATTTAGATTACATTTATATTTGAGACCTTAAATGTAGTCTTAAGATGTTATTAACCAATCAGAGAGTCGTATATATTAGTATCTTAAGACATTATTTAAGACAGTCTTAAAATACGAACGGACCATAAGTATCGCCCTATGAATATCGGCTTTAGATACTTCAAAACCATTCTTTCCGCGTAATGTTCATCCTAATTGGTGTAGGTGTATTCTGTGTCGCAGCGATACTTTAGCTCGTCACGGGACTCGCTTCAGGGGGGATACGTGAATCGGGGGGCGAGCGAGCTCGATCTGAGTCGCAAGCCGAGAAGAAGGGACCACCTAAGGGGCAGATTTAAGCTGCCATATACAGTTGCGCTTACGTCCTCGCGTGACCAATCGCACCTTCACACACCGGCATCAGTCAATCATCTCAGCAACAGTAGCTGTAACGGCACTGAAACGTGAGTATTTCATTGGCGAGTAATCACGGGCCGATTTCAATTATCATCGGATATCATTTCAATTTCGTTACTTCGAAACCTATTCCTTTCCATACTTTGAGAAGAACGGGTATATTCCAAGAAAAATTCAATTTGATGCTAATTTTTCTCCTTATTGGAGGTCAAATTCACGATAAAAGTTCGAGAAAATGAATATAACGAAGAAATATCTGCGTAGTGAAGGATCATAAATATTCAAGTGACTTCTTGGAGGCTTACCGCAGCGGTGTTTCTTGCATTTCTAAAGATCGCTTAATTGTGCCAGAGATTTCTTTAAACAGAAATATCTTCGCGACGGAATTATCGGAAGTAAAATTGCGGGAAAATCTTTTCATAAGCAATAGAAACTTGTTTTTAAAATTTGTTGAGAAACCGCCTGGCGCGTACGAATAAATTGTATTAGTTGTTTTTTTTTTGGCCGTTCTGTGAACATTCAATACTTCCACCGTCGTAATTTTTCAAATTGATACGCGAATCCTCGTACACGGTACAAATAGTAACGAAAAAAATGGATAGCCGTGTCGCGGGACGTGTCCAGGGACAAAAGTAATTAATCAACGCACGTTGCATTGAATTACTGTCTCAGGAGGTACACGGCGCAACAACAGCAACAGCAACGCGGTAGTAGAGGCTATCCCGGACAACCTGGATCGAGGGGTTTTCGCACGGGTGCGCCAAATTGGTCCTTCATCTTCGATCCTGCGGGACGTCTCTGTTACTATTGGTCGATGGTGGTTTCTCTTGCCTTTCTTTACAACTTCTGGGTGATCATCTATAGGTTTGCCTTCCAGGAGATCAACGGTTAGTCCGCAATACACTTACGACTTCCTTCAAATTTTATAAACGCGCCTTTCATAGAAATTTCGAAATTGAGAATTCGAATCGAAAGTACATTGGTTTATTTTCTTGAGAAATTTGTTATTTATTAAATTACGGGATCACACTTAAGAGATCACTGTAAGAATCTAGATTTTATGTCGGATATATTACATAAGCAAGATCCGTATATAAACATATTTTAAATATAGGACTTTTGATCAGCTGTGGCTTATATAAATAACGCTCCCGTAAGCACTCGTTAAATTAAACTTAAATTGTACTATGAGATATGTATATGTATATATTTTTTTATTTAATCATCATGTAAATACGTTCCAAAGTGAATTGCTTGTAACGACATTTCACATTCAAAAGTTTTGAGGAATGTTATTAAACGAATTAGATTTTTGTTAAAACAATTATAATGTTTACTTTAACTGAATATTGAATGTCAAAGCGAGCAATAGCTCTATGATTTATAAAACGATACACGAATTAAAACGCGCATATGAGTTAAATTATAGAAAATAAAGGCATCTCTGAAATATTTTATATATGCAGACCATTGTAGAAGCTTTTTCCCAATCACGAGGACAAAAAGCCAGGTGAAATCAATATAATGGCGATCAATACGAAGAGGCATCAATAGCCTTTCGACCGATAACCTATTATAACTGATTGAAAATGAAAATATTTTAACGAATTCGGCAATGTAGAAAAAAAAATCGATTTAAGTTTTAGAAAAGAATTATTAAGCGAATGGTTAATCAATGCTAATAGCAAATATCGCATATTGAAATAGGTATTGTTTTGCTTGCGAATGCAGGAGAAACCCGTTGGGTGTGGTTCTGCCTGGACTACTTCTCGGATTTTTTATACGTGCTCGACATAGTATTTCACATTCGAACGGGATACTTGGAAGACGGCGTGCTGCAAACCGACGCCACGAAATTGAGAAATCATTATACGAACAGCACCACGTTTTACATAGACATCCTGTGCCTGCTGCCTCTCGACTTTTTATACTTATCTATAGGATTTAACAGTATGCTGCGAAGTTTTAGACTCGTAAAAATTTACCGGTAATTTTCACTCTTTTTACTATCTTTTTACGATAGATTATATTCTAATTTATTAATTAAATAAGTCGACTTTAAATGCCAAATTTATGATGACATTATCTTGTGCATTTCATATTTATAATGTAATATATTTTAACGTATTATAAATTTAATGCATGATGCATGATTTGAAAAAATTTGGCGCGGAATTAAGTGGAGTGCAACGAACCGAGGTATTTTTTGCGAATTTTTTTACATATTTGCGGAATTCAAAAAAGTTTTTAACTCATGAATATTTCATTCCCGTTTCAACGATTTGCGTATCCACATGTACTGCACTCTCTAAATTTTCTAGAGCGGAATCTCACTCTAAAGAGTGAAAATTGAGCCAGTCTTGAAAAAAAGTGGCTCAATTTTCAACTTTTAAGAGGTTCCACTCTTCAAATAGAATTCATTCTAAAAGTTTTAGAGAGTAACGGCATATATACATATATCTGGTCCGTTTCGAACACTACACAGTCATTGCTGTGAATTTCTTTTCTTGTTTTGACTGTCATGCGATTGACTTCGAATGTACAAGTGTAAAAGTTTGGATTTCTTCTCATGGAACAGCAATGAGTGCGACGCGACGTATTTAGAGTAAATCGAGAGATTGAAAAGTATTGCGAAAGTTCGCGTGTAACGGTAATGCTGATCTTTCGCACGTAAACGTTTATACATTCCAATGCAAGTATCAGTGTCATGGATGTATCACAAAAAATATGAACGGATGGATCGTGTTGTATCTCAATATTATCCTTTATTAAAGCAACGTGCGAAAGTAAAACGTGTCTTTTTTGTATTTATCAGCGTGTTATTTCTGTCTCGACGATTTATATCGGTAAACAACGTTTACTAAAATTCGATTTTGTCAGGACCGATAATTCATCAATGGCACTAGTCTATTTATTTCTATATAAATATGTGCGTACCTTACTCTCATCTAACATTGACAATTTGAATGTCACATGTGTATTAAGCAAACGGAACTCGGAATTGGCCACATTTAATAACAAATGGTAATAAATTGAGAACATAGACTATAGATATGGACATGTTTACGAAGACCGATGGTAAAAAGGATTGGAATTAAAGAGAGGACAAATGTAATATGGTAATAATTCCATTTAACGTACCAAGCAATTTCGCAAAACCATCAATCATCATCTCGTATTGGCATAACAATCAGTACAGATTGAGTTCATTTAAGCTTGGATGAAAATGAAATTAAAAATGATAGACTTCTGTTTTTCTCTTTTGGTGTTTTCCATACTGTAAATTATTGATCGCAATCGTTTTAATCGTGGCTCCCGACTGCGTCGTAAATCGCAGAATTGCGCGGACGACGGAATCTAGCCGCACTCATAAATAATAATTGAAAAAAAGGACAGGAGCATATTTTAACCTGTTGAAGGCACAAGCTCGAGCCTTTCCATCGTACGCGCGATGATTAAAAACACGTTGTCCCACGTTCGCTCCACGTGATTCCTGCCGCCGAATATCCTAAGAGAAATCTTGAAATTTATCACTCCGCGACCACCGGAATTTCAGCCAATTTTCTCAACCCGCTTTCTCTATCTCTGACGTAGGTTCTGGGCGTTCATGGACAGAACCGAGCGACACACGAACTACCCGAATCTGTTTCGCTCCACCTCCTTGATACATTATTTACTAGTGATCTTTCACTGGAACGGGTGCCTCTATCACATTATTTATAAGAACAACGGCTTTGGCAGTAAGAACTGGGTGTTCAGCGACTCCGAGACGGCGGATGTTGTCAAGCAATATCTGCAAAGCTACTACTGGTGCACTCTTGCCCTAACGACCATCGGTGATCTGCCCAGGTATTTACTCATTTATTTATACGTCGACGTTACGTGTATGTTATGCGAATTGGACAACATAGAAAATTTTGCGCAACAAATATATCGTTGACATATTGAGACCAGACATTTCTCAACGCTCGAAAGCCTCATGAAATTCTCCTATTTGCATATGCAAACTTTTATTCATTTAAGTAAATTTTATTCATGCTGTTTTGCTTTCATACAGCAAGATACATTTGATCTTGTAAATAGTGTACGAAATGAAATATGGAATGCAGTATGTAAGTTTGTCCTGGAATATAAAGGGAATTTGGTTGTTTTAGTCGCCGCAAAACATATTATGCAACAATTTAAACGATAGTCCCTTTGTGGCCCACCAAGTCTTGAACAAATCCGAGAATTTTGCAAACGTTATGAAAACGTCGTGGGAATATCTTTCGTATTATTGCGATTTATTAATTATATTTATTCTCAGATAGATACATAATAGAAGTGTATGAAAGTTACAAGAAATAATTTTTTTTTCATTCGTACAAAATGCAAAAGATCTGAGTTCGATTCCCGACCGAGATAATATTTTTCGCAATTAAATTATTTACCGATTTTGTATTGAAATCTTTCGAAGATGTCTATATGAGTAATAAAGTTATTAAATTACTTGTAATATTGACTCTGGCTTCGATTTAGAGCTGTTTTAAAACTGACAGATAACCAGTGCATAGTTAGCTTGAACTAAAAATTGTATAAATTCACAAAAGAAATATGATTAGAAATATGATTAAACACGGAGGACTTTGACTGAATATGGCCATTTTCACTTACGCGACTTTTTTTTTTGTTTTAATTCTATATCCGTATTTCCAGTGTGGTATTCTCACGGGTTCACTATCATTAACCACGTATAACATTCCACACGTAATTCCACGTATTCACGCGATGATACCCTGCGTGCAGTTTAAATATAAAAAGCAATGGACAAACCACCACCGCGCTATTCTATTATAACGCTGCATCGCGACGCTAGACGTCACAAAATGTAGCTCTGATAAAAATCGATGACAATGTGTATGCGAAATATTCAAACCACCCAAATAAAAGAAAACCACTAGAAAAACAACGAAATAACCGATAACCAAATTGATAAATTTTTTGCGGTATTTAGATTCTTCCTGCGATGCAGCGTCGAAAATGCATTCATACCGATTATATCGCAATTTCCTTGATATCTGACCAAACTTTGATTATATATTCCACAATTTTGAAACCTGCGGTATATTTCAATTAGAAAGATGTTGTGAATGCAGAAAAAAAGCTCGATAATACTGTTTCCTAGTTGGACTCTTAAAAACTGTCAAAAAAACGAAAAAAGTCAGTATACGTAGTGCAAATAAACAATTTCAATATTTTTGTTAGTATACTTAAAATGAAGGCACTCACGCGAAAAAATAGTAAAATGCCGAAGACATTTCTATGTCGAGCAATATATTTGTTAGAGAAAATATTTCTGTTCGAAGTCAATTTTTATTTTCTATTAATTAAAAATGGCAACGAATGATCTCAATTAATAGATCTAATAGAGATCGAAGAGAGTCATTTTATGATATAGTTTAAGAAATGTATTTATTTTGTATTCGTTTAAATTTAGGAGCATTTATACAATAAGGTTATCTTGCACAAAAACTGTTCAATTGTTGCAGAAAATCGTAGAAATGAAAAATGGAAGCCGAGCAATATTAACCGAGTACTTTAATAACTCGAATATTTTTGTCCTTTATCCTTTCCAGACCGAGAAGTAAGGGCGAGTATCTCTTTGTGATTGGTCAGCTGTTCTTCGGTCTGCTGTTATTCGCAACGGTGTTGGGTCACGTCGCAAACATCGTCACTTCCGTCAGTGCAGCGCGGAAAGAGTTTCAGGGTGAGTCGATCAATTCAAGTTCCCTCGCGTATGTGTATCTCTTTGCATTAGCTCGCAGGTCGTACTTTAACTTTTTATATAAGCAAACAGAATTTGTTCGACGAAAGCAAAGTAAGACCGTCCTTTTTTTTATGTACGACGAGCGTCGATTTTTATTACGACGCGCGTTCGAATCCCCATCGTATTTTATGAAACTTTATTTCGCTCCCACCAGTATCGTAAGAAGCGAAAAGGAAACTCACGAAAATATTCATCTCTTGGCTCATGACTGTAAATAATTCAGCACACGTGATACGTTTTTACGGCGTGAAATACGATTTACGATTTCCACTTGACGCATAAAACAAGTCGCGCGAAAGTTCACAAAGTTCATACGCTACGTCTACGCGACGGTGGCAATTAAATACTAAAGTGTGCGAATAAGCTAAATCAGAGCGCGCAGTATAAATAGCATTAGAGTGTGAGTCTTTAATCAGATTTCATTTATGAGTTAACTTGCCGCGCAATACGCGAAGGTGAAAGAAATTACATGAATACAAAAAACAATACACGCATCACCATTAAATAAAAGTTTGATACAATAAACGAATTATTTTAAGTCCATGAAATCACACGGTGATTTATTTAACGCATTTATAAAAAATTAAATTTGCAATATAAAGCAGTAAAGCGGATCGGACCTTTTACGTAACTAAATAAGTTTTTGTAACAGATCTGTTGTATCTCTTGAAGCATACAAGTAAAATATGACCCCATCTCTTTTTGCCAAGTTGTTCGAATTACGGCTTGGCATCCTGCCATTATCGTTCCCCCTCACCCTTTCGGATTTCCCGAACGCATTCCATCGCGCATGATAAATAACTGCATTTTCAATTAACGCCGAGCAGGAAATAGACACTTCGTTCCGCGTCCAAGCCCCGTTTTAATTGCGCCGCATCGCAGTTTCGCCGCATCCGCATTTCCGCCCTTGCACCTTCGTTATTTCACGACTCACCGGGCCGCTTTCTGTACGCTGCTTTCCCCACAAAATGCTCGATTCGATGGGTGCGTTCTGGCATAAAAGCGAGCGCGTAGTGGCGGTCACTTCGACCCGAGAAACTAGCGCACCCAATACTCTCTCCATCGCGCATTTTCGTTTCCTATTTATATCTTTCAATCGGTTGTCGGTTCTCGATATTCGTCCCGCAAACATACGTTTTTCTCATTTCATCATCAAATGTTACGTAGTGAAAGATTGCACAAATAAATGCGCTTAACTTTATTTGTATTTGTTCAAAAGATATAATAATTTGCCCGAATGACCATAAAAAATAATTATTGCATTATAGTTCTTGATTATTGCAAAATTTTTTTAATTCAACTACACGTGTATTTAGTAAATTTTATTTCTCTTATTGCAGTAATTGTTTTGAAAAAAATAACAGGTATAGTAATGACAAGAAAGTTGTATGAGATGAAATAATTTAGAGATCAACATAATGATCATTTTTCTCTGATTGTTATGTTTCCTTTATTTATTAAATTATTTGTTTTCAATGATAATAAATTCTGACACACGCAAAGTATTCCACATCTACCTTATAATACTTTAATTATGTACTTTAGAGATTAATTAGATTAGAAATTCGAATATAGAAATGCTATAATTATAATACAATAATTTTCAAGTAACATAAACAATTAAGATTATTTTTATATCTTAGATAATAAAATAAAATTTACTTTGATAGAAAATAATGGGGGGGGGGGAAATTATATATAATTTATATTTATAACTTCTCTCAATTTTCATATCTTAAAAGAAATGAAATTATGATTTTTTAATACATCAAGAAATCAAAATGGATTGTTTTACCCGATAATCTTATTTTATTTTCTTGATTTATTAAAATAATAAGAATAATTTCTTAAAATGCAAGACGTCAACATTTTTAGAAAAGTAATAATAAATATTAATAAATAATAATAAATAAATAAATAATTCGCGCTAATCATTTGGACACCAATTGTCGAACGAAAAGATTGTATAATAGAATGTACCGCTCCATATTTCGTCGTCTTATTCTTTAAAAACTGATCATGATAAGTGATAAGAAAATATTAATTAATTTAACCAATTTCCAAACGTAATCTCCTTATTAATTAATTTCCTTGATTTAACGATGTATCGAGACGACAGTTATATACCGAAAAAATGTTTCGCGTAATTTAGTCTTTCGACATCGAAATAACAATTGAAATATAAAAGTAATGCGAAAATTATAAATTTTACTGTTCCGTTACGTAGTTTACAGTGTAATTATTCTTTATTCTATGATAGGTATTAATAGTCAATTCTAAGCAGAATCGTATAAGGATCGTAACTTGTTGTCGAATTAACTTATGATTGGAACTTATAAGAACTTATGATTGGAATGCTTATAACTTTATGCAATACTTTTACAAACAGCTTCTTGCTAGACATAAGATTTACGAGAAACCGTAGATATATATATTTATGAATGATCGTACGTCTTACGGGGTACGCATAGAATTACAACTCCAGTCATAAATTTTTACTAGTTTTACTAAAACAAGTTACAATTCTGCTTTACGATTCTGCTTAGAATTGACTCATAATTTTATAATATCTTTTACATTTAATAATTTGAAATTTAAATTTTAATGTATTAATAAATACATTTATTATTATTTCTCTTGATTAGTGGAATAGAATAAGCAATTATCGAATGGATATATTATATCTTTTGTTGTTAATTCTCTTTTTTAAATGTACTCTTTAATGTTAATTAATATATTATTTCAATTATTAATATTAATCTCTATTTTACGAAATTACGCGTTATATACGATTGATGTTGAAAGACTCATACAAAGCTTCATGCGATCGTCGTATTCTGATTTAATCTAATAATTAAAACGCACGTGACTGTAATTAATTACGACTTAAATTTAATTTTCAAGAAAAGATATCGTTTAAAATTATATTAGTTATAGATTTTTTCGAAATACACAAATATAAAATTGACATAAGACATATTGTCTTAACAAACGTTTTATATATATATTTTATATACATGTATATTTCCTATACAAGAAGAGATTATCAACGCGCGTAATTTAATTATTTTTAATTAATTCATTATAATGACAAAATAACCGTCACTTGAAATTTTTGGCATTAATGAAACAAATACAGAACAGATTGACTTCAAATTGAACGGTCAGAATTCGTTTAACTGTCAAGACAATCGTAATTTATTTCGTGCTTTGATATATATTTGTCAATTGTGTAACGCAATTTCAGCGTCTATTTACGATGGTTATTCGAGATTCGCCTCTGCCATTCGAAATTCACCTCTTGCGCTAATTTACATTCGAGAGTGTCGTGCAAAGTGTCGCACGATCTTAATTAAACGTGTTCTCGCGAGTGTTGTGTGAGTGCAACGAAGCTATCTGAGAGGAGGAGGAGGCCTAGCAGAGGCATCATGTAACGGCTGAACAACTCTGGAGTAAGTAATTTATATTATTTATCATTTTATTTGTTACTTTATTTGAATTATTAAATTCCTTATATCTTATAATTTATGTAATACTTAAAGAAAAAGCTTTTATTTATAAAAGTTTATAATAAAAAAATTTTTTTGGGGAGAAAATTATGTGTAGTTACTTTATTAAATCTACTTAAAAGAGAAGCAGATGAAATATTTAATGCACATAAAATGATTATTTTTTTAAATATTAATATTTGGGCATAGTTATAATCCAGATTTTGTATTTTGCAGATCAACATGGTGATATAACTACGTTACTGCGCATTGTATGGGTGAATGAAAAAGTACGCCTTATTTTATTTTTAATGATAATAAATCTGTGAATATTATAACAGAGTGAAATAGACTTGGTAATAGATGTAACATTTCACACGCCCATTGTCTTTGTGTACGAATGGGCTAGGGTAGATTAAAGCAATATTTACCATGGATTACGTATAAGCATTTGACGATTTATTGTGCATACAAGAATGCAAGCATGCAAAGCTCAAAATAAATAACATTTTCAAGCTGTATCAGAGAACATCATTAGAAGATATTATGTAATTATTTTAATGGCACATGCATTACGGTCGATTAAATTTTCAAATTCATCGCTTATATAAATTGTGAAATATATAAAGTATTATATAAAATATATAAAAAAAGAAAGAAGCAAAAGATAAAATTATGAGCAAAAGTAAATGCAAACATTTTTGAAATGTAAAGCTTTATTTGATTTTTTATGTCTCTCATGGTATTCATATTGTACAAACGATGAAGATTAAAAGAAGATGAAGTTTATTATATGTACATACTAAAAATAAAAATATATTTATATAAAATTTATATAGACAAATCGTTAATATTAAAATGTATTTTATCTCCTTTTTATTTTTTGTTTTCTTTCTTTCATGATTAATTTTTGAGATCATTTGATCTCGCTATTTTTCCAGGATTAAATATATATGTATTGTGATGAAGAAAGTAATATATTTCAAGACTTTTAGTGTGTGTGTGTACATATATATGTCATAAATGTAAATAATAGAATGATAAAAGTAATACACAGTTACTATTTATTTTAACTATATAATTATTACACTGCGCACTGTTAAAAATATAGTATTAATTTTAGTTTAAAAACAGTGAATTTTCTGAAACATGAAAAAAATGTCAAAATTAATATTTGTTTTGTACAAAATTGCATGTCTTAGAAAGTCCATTTAAGTTGAAATTAACATTTTATTTTTAACAGTGTAAACGTTAAACAAGCTATTAATTAATATTTGAGTTGTACCTTTTTAATTTTAATTTTATTTAAATTTATCGTAATCCCCATTTAACTTTTATAAAAAATAAAACATAATTTATAATAATTAATAATTTTTAATAACAAATTAAATGTAATTATAATGAATAATTATATGTGAATATTTATATCGTACTATTGAACAATTCCAGTTT